ATGACTTGAGTGAAATTGGGGATGAGCAGGTGGTAGAAATTGGCTAACCTCAAAAAGGATTGTAGTTGGCGCTGGGTCGGCGAGGACTGCCACCCCAGCACATCCTGGATTTTCTTTTGGTCTATGCCCAGTCCCTTCCTGGAGATGTGGTACCCAAAGAAACCCAGCTCCTCTCTGTGGAACGCACTTGGAAAGTTTGGCAAATAGGTGGTTCTCATAGAGGGCTTTCAGGACGTCCCACACCAACTTGACATGTGACTCCTTATCTTGCAAATAAATCAAGGTATCATCTAGATAAACCAGGATCCCCTTGCACTGGTGCTTGTGCAACACTTCATTGATTAAGTTCATAAACACCCCAGGTGCTTCGGCTAACCCAAACGGCATCACCAGGTACTCAAACTGTCTCCGTGGTGTATTGAATGCTGCTTTATGCTCATCCCCCTCTCTGATGTAGGCATCTTGTAAATCTAGTTTGGTAAAGATCCAGCCTGTGAGGCCTCAGCTAGCAAGTCTTTGATGGGGGGAGGGGGGAGGTGTTCGACATAAACACTGCATTCAACCCTCTATAGTCCATGCACAGCCTCAACCCCCCATCTTTCTTCTTGTGGAATAACACTGGTGCTGCAAAAGGGGAAGCCGCTGGCCAGATGTACCCCCAGGCCAGGCTTTTATCAGTGAACCTTTGTAGTTCCTCCTTCTCTGTTGGGCTCATGGAGTAGATTTTCCCTTTGGGCATTTTATGTGCCAGAAATATTTCAATTGCACAGTCAGTTTTACAATGAGGGGGTAGTCTGTCTGCCCCCCTTTCCTCAAAAACCCTGCCCAGATCCCGGTATTCAGGCAGCATCAGATTTACCTCTTCCCACGCCAGGCTCACGCACTCAGCCATGGGGTGAGGCTCTTCCCCCCAGTCAGTGTTCCAGAGATGCTCCTTGCATCAGGGGTCTAGGAATGTGAAAGTCCCCATACTCCACTGGATGTATGGATTGTGGGCCTGAAGCCACGGTCTCCCAAGAACCATAGAGAACTTTCCAGAGGGATTCACCACAAAAGAGCATAGCTCCAAATGAGAGGCCACCCCCACCGGTAGGTGGACAGTGCAGTACTGGTAGGCCTCCCCCTTCATGGGCATCCTGCCCATGGGCTCCTGTAGCTTATGTACTTTGGCCCCCAAGCCTGTGACTATGGCAGGACTGATTAAGTTCCAGGTACACCCTGAGTCAATTAGGGCTCTGACTCTGATATGCACACCCCCCCTCAGGATTGGTTATGGTAACAGTCAAATAGAAGAGGGGGGAGGAAGGTCTCACCGAGTCTTGCACTGCAGACTTTTGGACCTGCTAGCTGACACCCTTCACAGCAGCTCCCAGCCTAGTTCTGCAGCTGAGGCACATTGCTCTCACTGAAGGAGGTGCCCTCCACCTCGTCTCTCGTTGCTGCTTGCAGAGCCTTTGGCAGCTTGGGGCATCTGCTTGGGGTCTTGGGTTTCTTCTCCTTGACTTCTTCCTTGCGTGCCTTCTCAGGGCTCTTACTTCCTGGGCAGTTTGTGACAAAGTGCCCCAGCGCCCCACATCTCAGACACAACCCCAGTTGCATTCGTTGTTCTTAGTCACCTCCGGTCTCTGGACCCCTTCTGCACTGGATGTTCGAGCCCCCAGGTGCCTTAACCGGTGTCTTGTGTTGATACAGGTGCATCAAGTTGCACCTATTCTCCACCTTGCAGGTCACCTGGGTCCAGCCGCTGAGGGTCAGTGGGTTGTCTTGGGCCAGTGCCTTCTCCAAAATTGTGGTGTTCAACCCAGCTTGGTAGAACTTGATGAGGATCTCTTCAGGGCCATCCCTGCAGCTTGGCTGCGTAGGTCTTGAACTCATCCAGGTACTCTTGAACTGACCAGCCTCCTTGTCTCAGGCCCCTGAGGTGAGTCCATGCCTTCTCTGACTCCAGGGGGTCTTCGTACTTGTGCTGCAGTGCTTGCATGAAGGCATCTACGTTGAACAGTTTGGGGCCCTCGACATTGTATAGACCCACAAACCAGTCAGCTGCCCTGTCGCACAGTCATGACCCCTTGTAGTTTGCATGGTGCTCATCAGAGGTGAAGGTGTGGCCCTACTCTCTCACGAACTTCTGCATCTGCAGGATGAAGAACGCCAGCTTCTTGGGGTTGCTGTCAAATGTCACTTCGAAGTAATCTCAGGGTTGCTCTTGGTTCCAGACTGGTCTCGCCGGAGGAAGGGGCAGGGGTCCTGGTGGCTGTCTGCGCTGCTTTTCCTCAGCTGACTCTTCCTCAGACTCTTCGGCCTCTTGTTGCATGAGCTCTCTAAAGACTCCAGGGAGGTTCTCAGTAAGGTACTGGAGGCCCTCCTTGAGTTCCTTCAGCCCTGCTCTGAGCTCTGTATTCGCTCGCTCGGTGCCCGTTTCCTCTCCCAGAGCCTCCCATCATTTTCAGGTGCTTGGGATCATCCTGGAAGGTGCAGGAGGCTCTTCTGCCTTCTCACTCCCCCTACGCCTTTGCACCCCTGAAGCCCAGGGTGCTCACAAGCCACGTCAGTTCATCCTACTGGTTGCGACTCAGTGAGGTACTGGAGGCCCTCCTTGAGTTCCTTCAGCCCTGCTCTGAGCTCTGTATTCGCTCGCTCGGTGCCCGTTTCCTCTCCCAGAGCCTCCCATCATTTTCAGGTGCTTGGGATCATCCTGGAAGGTGCAGGAGGCTCTTCTGCCTTCTCACTCCCCCTACGCCTTTGCACCCCTGAAGCCCAGGGTGCTCACAAGCCACGTCAGTTCATCCTACTGGTTGCGACTGCTACGGTGGTCTTTGGGCTTTGCCCCATGTCCCAGTACACTGCGCTTCTTGGGTTTGGGGCCAGCCGGCTCTTCTATTTTCTTGACAGGAGCAGGGTCTGGGAGTTCAGCTTCAGATCCAGTGCCCGTCCATGTGCCTTCGCCTTCGTCAGCCATCACTTCAGTGGTATGACGGTCAAAGGGAGAAAGGGAGTTCTGACACTATGTCAGACTCCTGGTCAAGAGACTCCGAACAACACTCTTTTTGGCAGTGATTTGTTTATCAGCATGATCCAGGTTAGAACAGTACCGTGTCTTTCTGGTGGGAAAGTCCAAAGATATAGACAGTTCAAATGGGGCCCCCTGGGGAATAACTAATCACACATTGCAGCCTAGCTCTTGTGTTCACTACCCCCCAACCTGGGAACATAGGATCCTGTTATTTACAATAGCAAGCTGGCACAGCTTCGGTCTCAAGGATGTTCCCCTAGGAGGAAGGCATCTTAAGGAAGAGTTATGACATCTAAGATAGAACGGTTCACACACACAGCCATTCACCCCCCTCTCAGGAATTTCCCTCCCCCCGGTAGCTATGGCAAACTAAGTAGAGTTTGACACCTATTTTCTGTTCTCATGCCCCATTAAAGGAAAGCACCAGCAAAGTTCAACTAGGATCCTCTTCAGCTCTCCCCTCCCTCATTAATAGTTTTATTGATTTTTTTAATGTTCTACATGCTCACGGACACCAGCTGCCTCCAAGCTGGCTGGCCCCGTACTCGTCACCATCCCCCAGCCAACTCCCAAAGCCACATGTGGGTTGGGGGGGGGTGTCCTGCCAAGATCTCCTGTGCAGCTGGGGGACTGTGTGCTGATGATGCTCTGGTAATGGAAGCATCAAGTGGGAGGAGTGGTTTTCTCCTGCTTCTCATTCTTCTTCCTTGTCCCAGCTTTCTTTGTTGCCATGGAGGCAGCAGCCTCCCCAACTTAGAACTTTTCCATCTCCAGCTAGACTAGCAGGCTCAAATTTAGTTCTCACATCTGTTTGTTAACTCTTTTATTTGTATGCTAATTTGCTGCTATCCACAGGTTTTACCAACTGTTAATCCAATTTTAGCTATACTTATTGCTCAGTTACTTATGTGTCTTGACTCTAACTAGCCCTTCCTGGAAACTAGTCCCTCTCTACCTATATGTAAGGCTTGAGGAAGTCTGTTTCAATGTATCTGAAGAAGTGTCCCTGCACATGAAAGCTTATATGCAGAATTAAACTTTGTTAGTTCTTGGGTGTCACTGGACTCAAACTTTGTTCTATTGCTTTAGACCAACATGGCTACCCACCCATCTGAAGAAAGAAAATGTAACTCTTAGGGTGTGGTCAGATGTGCAGTTTGATCTGGTGGCATTTTTGTCCCCATCTGTCTCTTGTTCCCAAGTCATCTGTGTCCCATTCCCCCACCCCCTTTACTGTGTGTTTATTTGACACCAGTGAAAGTGCAATCCTTTTGGGCTGAGCTGGTTTCACACTGGGTTTCCTATTGTCTGATCCCTCTGTTGTGAACCCAAGCCATCAGGCTGGTCTGACTGGTCTCTTATGTTTTCCTGGCCACTATTAAAAAACAAAAACAAAACTAGTTGGTGATATGCACATAACCACACCTCCGTGCCCGGGCTGTGAAGCTGAGGGAAGGGACATGCTGCCACTGTGTTTTTGGCTCTCCTCCTCTTTAAACAATTTGTCCTGTCAAATAATTTATTCTGTCATGGAAAAGGGCCTGCAGATGAGCCATCAGCCAGCTCACCCGGCTGCTCCTTCATTGCAGTCTGATCTATCAACCACAGTATGAGCATGCAGTGTGGCAGTTAAGGGTGGGATATCTGATTGTGACAAAATACACCAAATTAAATTATACAAGTGGCTAGATGGCACTAAGCTTGCCATCTTATATTTTCTTATTTTTATCACTTTCACACAAGCTGAAGAATACACTTTTAATCCAATTTCAATGCACTTTAGCAATCATTTGCAGGTGAATTTTGCCGTTTCGGACAGTAAATCCAGTTGCAAAGTGCATTGAAAATGGATTGGAAGTGTGTTATTCAGTGTGTGTGAAAATGTATATCAACACATTGTGTTCTGTGGAGACAAGTTCAGGAACTTTTGCTTGCTGTTCATGTTGTTTTATGAACACCTTGCACTATCTTCCCTCCTTCCTTCTAGGGCTCTGGCCGATATCCTCCGGCAGCAGGGACCAATCCCCATAGCACACTGTGAAAGAGAGACTATCTCAGCTATAGATACCTCCCCCAAAGACAACACACCAGTCCGAACATCCTCAAAAAACCACTACACACCAGTGCGCACCTCCAAGAGCAATCCAGGTAAGCACTACACTTCTTCAGTACTAATATGAGGTCACCTGGCATGGTCTACAGAAAAAGGGTCAAAATAGAACAGCAGAGTACCATAGGGTTCTGTATACTCTGCAGTGATGTCTGAAGAGTCTAAGAAGGGCTTGCACTGCAATGTGCAACTGCAGGGATTCATTAAGAAATACAATTGCTTCTTCTGAAGACTGTTTTAATACCAGGCAGATATTCTGAGACATGTTCAGATAATCCTTAAATTTGTGATTTTGGTAAACTCTTGAACTAATGGACTACTGTTTGGCTGTAGAAAAGAATAAAGACAAATGAATAAAAGAATAAAGACAAAAGAATAAAATGCAATCTGACAAAAATGCATGTATTCAAGAACTACTGTATGCAGGACGAGGGAGTTGTGGCATACGTTTGAAGTCTCAAAGACATCATCATCCAGGAACTTCATGGGATATCTCCGCTTATAATCATAATGGGACACTATATGTAGTAAGATGCTCAGTTCAGTCACAAGTGAGTGACTGACTAAACTTTTGCTGCCTCTGGTTATTTTTAAGAGGTGAAATCAGGTGACCTTAAAGGGGTAATGGTTCCATGGGGTGCTGAGCCTGTTTGGCTCTTCTAGGGATGCCAGTAGAAACTGAAAATTCCAAGCACTTTGCAAAAGTAAGAATTTAGACCTCATGATCTGGGTTAGGGAATATCTTTGCACTGCAAAATACCGTGGAATCTGACATCACTGAATTATTTTATTACCTGCTGGTATAGATTGGGATATGGGGCAACTTGCCTGTCCTTAGATAGGAGTGTGACAACTGTTGTAGGAGGTGGGAAGAGGAAGGTCGCCTTGTAAGTTTGTGGTCTGTAGAGGTCTTGCTGGTTATAAAAGAGAGTCTGTTATTGTTTTTCATTGGATGTCCTTGCATACTTACTGGTTATAAAAGAGAGGTAACTAAGGGCTGGACTACACATTACACACAGCTGTATATTCAGCTGTATATATTCAACTGTATATTCTGCTGTATGTAATGGTAGCAGCTTTTTCTATGGAAAAGAAACTTTTTTTAAATTAACATTTTATTAAAATTTTCCAACAACGTGCAAAGATGCAACAAAGTGGAGGTGTTTTGAATTCTTCTCCCAAATGCTACTTTTCTACTGGGGTTTAAATAAACACTTGATTAGAAAGTGAAATTATAATTTGAAGTTCAGTTCCAACAAGACAAAATCCTGTGAAGTCTGGAATAATTGGAAGATCAGAGTTCTGCATGCTTGACAGGAGCCACCAGATATGTACCAAGATAGAAGAAACAGGAAGTGAAATCTGTAGTTGTGAATTAGGTGAAAATTTTTGCTTTGTTTTGCAGTACCACAGCTGTGGAAAAGGCAAACTCTGTGCTGGGGATTATTAGGAAAGGGATTGAAAATTAAACAGCCAATATTATATTTCCCCATCTAGGTCTTAAAGCCAATAGGCTGTTTGACCAGAAAAAGACAGCAGAATAACAAAAAAGTTATTGCTGCTCAATATTCATTTAAAGCAATGTTCAATTGCAGCGAATATATATTTACACACATCTAGTGTTATACCAAAATCCAGGTTCGCTAACAGAGTCATTACATGATAGTTAGAATGGCAACCATGTTATAATGCCTCCAGATAGATCTGTGGTGAAGCTTCATTTGGAACACCGTCAGAGCAATCTTGAGCCATGCGCACACTGCAGCGGCCAGCTGCATTGCAGGGGCGGCGGTGCTAGTTGGCTCCCTACACTGCAGCAGAGTGGGGAGAGTGTAGCTGGCTGCATCCATGGTGAATCCGCTGCAGCATGGCCTCGAGGTGTAGTGTCGAGGTAGGGGTGGCTCAAGGGGCGGGGCATTTCAGGTTGATGGGAGCGGCCAGTCCCAGGGTAGATGTTGCATATTTCAACTGGCGGCAGGGCAGGGCAGCTCCGGAGAGCCCCATTTCCGCCCCCAACAGAGACCCATGGCAATGACAGGCATGCATTGTTCCTACATGATGGCACATTGCATAGCCAAGCCCCCCAAACTGCACTCACCCCTGAATTCTTCAAGTCTGCCCACTGCAGTGGCTCCCCCTATTGGCTCTGGGAACACCCTTGATCCCATTGCCCCCTCAGTTCTACTTGCACAGATGCCTTCCCCCCTGGATGCCAGAGAATGCTTCTGCTACCCTCAGGGGCTTTCATTCTGCTGCCTCAGCCAAAGGCCTGGTAAAACAGCTCCAACTTGCAGGCCCTGCAGAATTGACAAAGATTCCACAGGGCCCTGATCTCGACTGGGAGCATGTTCCACCAGGCAGGGGCCAGAGCAGAAAAAGCCCTAGACCTGGTTGAGGTGAGATGGACGTCCTTTAGGTGAGGGACCACCAGGAGATGTTGATCCATAGAGCGTAATGCTCTTCGAGGCATATATGGAAAGAGGCAGTCCCTCAGATATGTTGGTCCCAGGCCGTGTAAGGCTTTGAAGGTTATTACCAACACCTTGAAGTGAATCTGGAACTCAACTGGTAACCAGTGCAGTTGGCAGAGCACATGCTGAATGTGAGCCTGCACAGGCGTCGACATCAGCAAGCGTGCTGCTGCATTTTGCACCAGCTGTAATTTCCAGATCAGCCTCAAGGGTAAGTGTGCATAGAGTGAATTGTAGTAATCCGACCTGGAAGTGGCCACTGCATAGGTCACTGTAGCTAAGTCTTGGGGGGAGAAGATAGTGTTTCAGTAACCTAATCTACGTAAGATGGAAAAATGCAGATCTGGCGACTGCAGTAACCTGGGACTCCATAGAGAGAGAGGCATCCAGTGTTATACTCAGGCTCCTCACTTTCTGGGCTGGCACCAAAAGAGCCCCTTCCAGCACGGGGAGCCTGATACTCATATCCATCCCCCCCCCCAACCTAGGTACAAGACCTCCTTCTTCGATGGATTTAACTTCAACTGACTGTCAGAGTCCCACAGCAATCAGTTCCCAACAACTTTCATTCAAAAGAGAAAAGTTTACAGTAAATGCAGGTCTTCTGCGCATACATTCTGTTAGAACTACTGGAAAATGCGCCAGTGGGGAGTTATACATAATTAAAAGGGGCCCCTTGACGACCCAGGTCCAGTCAGGGCATCAGCAAAAGCTAGGGTTGCCAGGTCCCCTGGGGGGGGCGGGGAACCCCCCGCTAATTGGATCAGTTCCCCGCCGGCCCAGATCGGGCCGCTGGGGGAAGTCCACCCCCAAAGTGCCGGGAGCACGGAGACGTGCCCGGCATGATGTCACCCGGATGTGACGTCACCGCGTTGGGCATGTTGTGGGAGGATGCTATGGTTTTCCTTCGAATGATACTGTCCCTGCCCCAACGTGACCAATGTGATGACGTCACTTCTGGGTGACATCATCGTGGTGTGAGTGATTTGCACGCACACCAAATATCTCCTGGAAGGGGCCCGGGACTCCCCCATTAAAAGGTAATTCACACTTGGCAACCCTAGCAAAAGCCTGCCTAAGCTAACGGGTCGACATTCCCAGGGGAAAGAAGTAACAAGGTATCAAGGTCACTAGCTGACGCTACATAGATAAGAAGAGCATAAGAAGAAATGAAATTTAAGATTCCAAGACAGAAGCAGACCAACATCTTCCCTCCCTCCTACCAGCCATGGCAGCAACACCGGAAGTTCAGCTGACACTGACTCTGCTGCAACCATCCAGCCACAGCATCCAATTTTTTGTGTGTGCCATAATGTATTTCAATGGAGCCCATGTAAGTCAATTGGCATTTCTGGCTCCCATGATCTCCAAAGGGCCTTCAATCCCCTCCCATTGTTTCCAATGGGCAATCCTGTCACTTCTTTAAGTACATCCAGAGAATGGAATCTTGGTCTCCCAGGTCCAGCCTCACACTCTAACCGCCTCTGCCTCCCTGCACACAGAAGCCTGTGAGATAAGCAAGGAAACTTGTCTGTGTGGCTGGGTCTTTGCTGTCTATGGCAGACCACTACGACCACCCACAGCACCCAAGAGCCCTCCCTCTGAGATATGCTCCATAAGCATATGGAGCAGAGATCCATCAGTGGCTATTAGCCACAAGGTATAGATAGGGACTCTGGGGCAAGTGATGCTCTGTCATCTTGGTGCTTGGGGGGGGTCAACAGTGGGAGGGCTTCTAATGTCCTGTCCCCACTGGTGGACCTCCTGATGGCACTGGTATTTCTGGCCACTGTGTGACACAGAGTGTGATACAGAGTGATACAACATTGGCATCTCTTCTGTTCTTCTGTTCTTATGTCCTAGGGAAGCCCCACAGGAGGAGTGGCAGATGGGGTGGAAAGGGAGTGGGGCAGGAAGGGATGTGGAACTTCTGTCATTTAGCAGAAAGCAAGCAGTAGAGACACAGTTGTGACACAACATAGACTTTATTGCACAGGAATCCATGGCAAAGGGTGAGGACTTTGTCCATTTCCACCTGGGGATGGAGGATCCCTGTCATGGCACTCGCCTAGGTGGATGGCATTGTAGGTGGAGTTGCCGAGCATGATGCTCCACTTCAAGAGGAGGACTGGAACAGTGGACTGAGCAGAGTACGTGTGTGGGAGGCTGGACTTGCCACACCCACAAGTCTTTCTGTTGAGTCTCCACCTGGAAGACAGAATAACAGCCATGGCAACTGAGAATGAGTGCCATGCCAGCCTCAGCCATGGATGTCTTGTCCTGACAGGGTCTGCAAATACATCTTCATGGGGGGGCTCACCATGAACCCCCCCTTGAGGCACATGATAGAAGCAGCCAACTCACACTCACCTGTCCTGTGCTGCAGTCCATCCACTACAGCAGCTGCAGCTCAAACCTCTGATTCTGCAAGGGAATAAATTAAAGAGACACTTGCCAAGCTGGTTTACCACATGCAGTGGAGCAGCTGCCAGATCCCCCACCACTACAGACATGTCTTGTCCTCTGCCGAGGGTGAGAAACATGCAAATGACAGAGCACCCCCTGCC